ACCCCTAAAAATGACCCAAAACTGACCCCAAAAACTGACCCAAATCATCCAAAAACTGACCTAAAACTCTGCGTTTCTTTGGCATCATTTCCTCTCCAAGCCAAAATCTCCAGTTGAGTTGATTGCTAAAGCCATCCTTTTCAAATCATCTCAGGAATCCAAAGGGACTGGAAAACACAGAGAAATCCTTCCTCCCCCCACCAAATCCCGATGAATTGGAAGCCGATTCCCTCATCTCTCTGCTGGTTTTTCTTGGCTGGAAAACCTGCTGCTCTGATCCCCCCTGGCTCTTTTTAGGCTGCTTTTCTTGCCCAGCTGCTTTCTCCCGGGGACGATCTCCCGGAGAGCCCAACGTCGGTTCTGCCGCCGTGGGTCGCTTCCGGGGGGGGGGAAGGCGGCGGCGCAGCCCCGACAGCATCTCCGGGGCACGGCGGGACCGAGCGGGGCGGGAGCGGAGCGGAACGGGGCGGGCGGCTCGGCGGGTCCGCCATCTGCCTGGGGTCCTCGCGCCCGAGCCGCGCGCCGCGGCCCCGAGAGGGGGCTGCCCGCGCCGGTGCCTGCCACCGCCCACGAACCTGCCGCCCGCGGCCGGCGCCGTCGAGCGCCCCGCCCTGTCCCCGCACCGGGAAACAGCGCGGTGAGACGGCGCTGCGGGCGCGGGGCGGGGGTTCGGGTCGGGGCGGAGGTCAGGCAATAGGATAGACGCCTCTCTGAGGGAAGGGGGCCTCTAGCCGCCATCTTGTGTGTGGTCTCGCCAAACTTCCGGTCCTGGCGGCGCCATCTTTGGTGTGGCCGCAGCGAACTTCCGGGCCGGGGCCGCCATCTTTGTGTCGCCTTGGAGGACTTCCGGTCAGAGCGCCGCCGTCTTTGTCCCAGTTTACGCGGAGAACGTCCCTCGCTAATTTCTGCGCTTTAACCCCAAAAATCTTCATGTTATTCCCCCCACACACACCCCGGGAGAGACGGGAGATCGCAAGTCCCTTCGTGCCACGGGAACCGGCCCTTAAGTTGAGCAGGGAGCGCTGCAGCGGCACAAGAGCCACTGCGCATGCGTCGCCGGTCCCGCGCCTGGCCGCTCTTAATGACCACGTGACCGCCGGCGTCTTGCTAACGACTGCGCATGCGCCGGCGTCGCCTGCTTGGCTGCCCCCCCGTCCCACTTGACCGCCAGGGAACGGGCGAGCGGCAAGGTTCGCTGCAGCAGCGCGTAGCTCTGCGACCCGCCGCCCTCGCTCCCGTGCCGCCCCTCAGCGGCAGCAGCGATCCCCGCGCGTCCCCCTGAGAGAAGGAGAGCGGCCGGGAAAGCCCCGACACAGAGCTCCGCCCGCCGCCCTCCCGCTGGCACGCGCCGTGGGGCTTCATTCATACGCACCCAAGTCCTGCTTTCAAACCCCCTCTTTCTGCATCCTGCATTTCTTACACTCCTCGATGCTGTATATAATAAAGTAGAGACGAGGCTCTCTTTTAAAATCAATTTATATGTCAATATTATATTTCAATAGATAGAAAAAAGAGAGAAGGTAATTTTAAAATTATTTTTACACGAACACCCCCAGTAATTTTCAGGCATTTTTGGGCTTAGCCTCCCTTTTTTGGGAGGACTCTACGTGACCCCTCTCATCCCCACTGACCTGCTGCTCCATCGCACGCTCTCTCTCTCCCAGAGGCGTCGGGATGCCCCTAATGACCTCATCGACCCCGGACTCCCCCACCCCTTTTTACTCACCCC